CTCTTTCCCATTCTATTTGCTTTAGAAATACCTCACCCAGCTTTCACAGTCATCATGTTTACATTAGGCGCTCTCTCCCTCTACCCGTCCCTCTTGCACCCGACCCTTCCCCTCCCGCTCTCCTAGATTCCTCTCATCCCATTCTTGTCGCTCTGTAGTTTGTATACTCTCCGTAAGGCTGCAAGTTTAATTAAATAGTTAATGTATTTCAATGGCTACACCACAAATACGTGTATAATTTCATACAGATGCCAAAGTCTCCTCACAAGATTACAGCACATGACATCTTATTGACTTCTCGTATTAAGTGTATTGCTCATATTCACGTCTGTGGACACTCATTATGAACACTGTCATAGGGCTCAGCATGGCTGGCCACATAGACACCTCCTCTGACACTTCATTCAAGAGAAGTTTCATTGTTGATGGTAGCATTAACAAGAAAAGACAGACAGAGTGGATGTGTCCTGCAGTAAGAACTGTTGGAGCAATACAAATATGCAGAACCATCTGATATTTAAGGTACAAGCTAACTGAACATATCCTGTTACCAATAACACAAAAGGTTGATGTGGGTCCATTAAATGTACATACAAGTATGTTACATGGATCTTAAAGGGACACTCAGTGATCCATTTGGTTAAATAAACTAAAAATGTACAGAAATTGATATATATCAAGCCAACTGCAAAAACTCAACAACAGTGACTATGGGCAGCACAAAGGGAGAGGGAGAGGATAGGCTGGCTCTAGGATGGTCTCATCAATAAAAACAGAAAACAAACATGTGAGACAATAGTGACGTTCATGATCCGCGTGGCCCATTTTAGTTAGAATTTCTGAAGAAAAGGCTTGTGTGACACTAAATTTTAAATTTTCCTGTTAATTACAAAACATTATTTTCCTTAAACCCTTCTCCTGCTAATTACATTTTTATACAACTAATTAGTAGAAACTTATTTTCATTGGTATTTTTCATAAGTAACGGATTGTAATTATATTTGTTGGTCTATGAAGGATCAGAAAACGATTGCAGTTTTTTTAGAGTTCAAACAAAGCAACAAATTATTAAGAGGCTGGAATTATACAATCTTTTTGCCCGAATATATTATGATTAATGGATTCTCAACACTTAATTGATGACAGTTGACAATTGATTTTCTGTTGATATTCAGTAAATGACTGACGCTGTTTTTCCATTCATGGTTTAAAAGGGCAAACATCACTGTTTCCTCGATGATGTGTCAGTACAATGGTTGGTATAGTTACTGCCACTGTTTTGTTCCACACATAATATAAGGGAGGAGGTCAGGATGGATGGTTGATGTACAAAGTGCACAACAGCAGATTTATGTAATTGTAATAAGAATAATATAACTGGCTTCAGTAAGTATTTAGCCCTCACCTCCCTCACTCTCCCTAACTTTATCGTGTATTGATAAAAATGCCATTTGGCCATTTAGTTATACATATTTAATCCGGCTAAGAAAACTTTAATATGTCTTTAATTATCCTTGAAATGTGTAAAGAAGAGTCCATCTGTGAGGAAAGGAAATGACTGGACATAGAGAAGTACACACATCTATAAGGACCCCCATGTCACAGTGCAGGTCAGGACAAACACCAAGCCATGGAGACCACAGACCTCTCTATACACCTCTGTGATAAAATTGTGACATGGCATAAATAGTTATTGTAAATGAGAGTCGTTTTGACACAATATTATCATTTATTTCTAGACTGACGATGACCTGGAGGAGCTTAACGGCACAATATACTTAATGTAGAAGTCCAGGTGTTAGTTTGTGTCAATTAATGTGTTTCAATTACATACACTACTTGTTTCCATGTTTCTCTGTTTGTATTCTAGCTTGAAACTTTCTTTTGTTTAGATATTTTAAATGTTCATAATAATGTA